CTGTTCGGCTATTGCGTACTGAATAACTCGACTATATCCCAATCACGACACTCTGGAAATTACCAAATGCATAACAAAGAAAGGGGGCTATCAAGAACCTTTGTAATACGCTATTCGATAATTCTTCACTATTGCGTATCTTCTTCAGCCAAAGTGTGGTACTGCATACCAGAACAGGACCACTTATTTTGAGCATCGGTTGACCATACTAATTAGCACTCTCTGAAATTGTCTCCTTTTATGATAATATATGCTTTTGCTCCCTGTATTGGCGTGATGAAGGCAAAACCAGTTGTTTTTGTTGTTTCTCTATCATTTATTTGACTTCTGTCTTTAGTGTTAGGCACCGTCGGATTCTTGACAATGCACAGCTCCAAATATCGGTTTCGAAAGGTATTATGTGTCCTCTCGACTTACAGCCTTTATGCATAGTTAACTCGCCAAAGGCACATCTTTTACCCCAATCTTTTGACCCAACGCCTTTAACTTTCAAGTAGCTGGTAATGTGACAATGAGGCATTTACTTTTCTCCAAGCAAATTACCCTTAATAACTGCTAACTGTTTCTATGATAGGTATCCGTTAAACCAATATACTAACACATATTTCGCATACATTTTCTGATTATAAAATTTTACTTAAAAAAGGAAGGTGCCCACTATACGACTTGAGCCAAAACAGTGAGTTTGAAATCTGCTACAATTCCATGGTATTGGTCAAACGACATTCTACTCGACGCTCATCTACATCAAGCGGTAGCTAATGGTTAAAAACACCTGTCAGACGTTTGATAGCTCAATACATGAGATGTATGGGTGTCCAGGTAGATGACACACCTTGCCAGGTTGGTAATTATCCGAAGGTTGTATTGTACCGCTCGGTCGTCATTCCGCACTGCCTTCAAAAGGGCCTCAAAACTGCTCAGCTGCCACAACAGTAGCCGCTTCGACTGATATGCTGAACCAGCTCAGGACAAATAGTGTGTCTTCCGCCCTTGCGGCATTTTCGGTGTATAATCTGGTTCGTGGACTACGAGCACCGATGCCATTGTGACACTTGTGGGTGAGATATGTGCCAGACCAGCTAAGACATCCATCTTCTATACCACTCGGCTTGGTGTTGTTATGAAAGAACAACTTCCCTCGAGGGCATACGAATTTTATTCACTCACCGTTTCGGACTTACATCTTACTCCACTGTGAATTCCTATTTTGGGTCAGACTGGTCCTGTTTTATATCTTTCCATTCAGCTTTATGTATATTACCAATTCTACCACTGCTACTCAAACCACTCTAACTTCTGAGCCTACGCAGTAATCATCCAAAATAAAAGTTCGGCCTGGTGAAGTTGGCCCTCGTAGATTAAGGTGGGCATACTGTCATAATCGGCCTAATACCTACAACATGAATACTTAGAACAGATTGTGGGAAACGAAGAACTCGCATAATTCGGAATCGTGTTCACTAGGCGTCATTCAATTGCTAATTTCTGATCCCCTTACGTACAACTGCCCCGTCGGCCTTCCTCTCTTCTGACCTTTATTAGTATTCATCTCCTTTTTGCCCTAGCCCCTCTCTTCGTCATCGTCGTCGCTTTTTATTTTCCGTTATGCAATAAAATCCCCTTCTAGCCGTAATCCAAAGCTGTCATCGGCTCTTGCCTCCCTCCCTCCCCCTCCCTCTACTTACTCATTGTTTGCCTTTTAGATTACGCGTTACCTCATGTCGACCCTGGGTTCAGAGCCCACTAGCCATGGGCCAGATACACCAACCTCTTCGGTCACGGGAAACAGTTTCACTCTGGAAGGCGGAAACAATCCAGTAGAGAAACCGGCTCCGGTATTCCTACCTGTTGGGGCTGCAGTCAGTGCAAAGTACAGAGGCGCCTTTTGCGAAGCCCTTATCGAACGCGTTGAACTAAATTTCCGACTGCGTGTTCAGCTGAAGAAGAGCAAGGCAAGCTTTCAACCTTAATTCCTGCCGAATCTTTCTATATACCAGTACGATGCATGCCGAAACTTGTGAAACATGCACGGGAGATTTGCAGTACATGCTTTAATGAGAACGGTTTCCGAAGAGGGCTCTAAAGCTACCTAGTTTTGTTTTTCCTTACGTTTACTTGTTGCGGCTGCGATCATGAATTATCTAGCCGGTCTCGATTATGTCCCGGACGATACTTCTCCACACGCGGCGATCCGCGGCAGCAGACCTGGACGGTTCCAGCCATTCTCTTCGCCAGCGCCGGAGACCTTATACTGACGGTCCAAGAACCACTTCTATATATTGGCGGACTGAGTCGGGTCAGATTTTGAGCTGACCCCCTCTTCGACGTTTCAAATTAATTAACAGTTTCGGGTCGAGGGTAGTAACAATGAGCTCGGGAGGTTGTCGACGAAGAACTTGTCCAAACCACCTCAATCGTCTTCCTTGGATGGCCTGGGATATCCTTGAGATGTCGCAGTGAGACTAAATCGGTGTACTTCACTCGGAGGATGGTTCTCAGGTAGTAGTGGTCAAATACCTCCAATTTCCGTCAATTTTGCACGCGCATAGTCCAGCATTTTCAGGTGTATAGAAGAACAGATTGCACGGTACTCGCGGAGCTTCGTAGTAATTGAAATATCGCGTTGGGTCCATAGGCACTTTCGAAGTCTGGAGAAAATTCGCCTTGCTGCGTCAATTCGCTCCGAGATATTTTGAAGTGTCTACTTCAAGCTGACAGCCATTAATCTCGAGGGGTGCCTTCTCTTGGACCGAGATGGAGAATGAGATCACCTTGGGATTCTCAGTGTTTATGGACAAACTGACCGATTTAGCGACCTCGTTCGCCCATGACACCATAGACTGTAGATCGCTAAAGCTTAAAGCGATATCATCGGCATAGTCGAACTCAGTCAACCTGCATCTGGGTGCAAGCCCAATACTGTCCTCTTCACGCAGGGCTTTCCTAAAAATCCTGTCAATGGCGTAGTTGGTTGGTTGGTAGCCCATGTTGGATCAGGGGTTCCCGCCGGAGTCC